CTGAATTTCTACCTTCCTGTCTGTGTGTCCGTTTATCCAGGAATTTTGAGTTTTCTGGAATACTTGAATTTCAGAATACCCCCAATTTTTTGAATAATTGACATTTCCGTTTCTTCCTGGAATTTCGCGATTCTCTGAAAAATCAAGTTTTTAGGAATTTCAGAATTTCAGAATCTTCTGTCTTTTCCCGAAACATCTAAATCTTTCTGGAATTGGGGATTTTTCTAGATTCCTGATTTTCTCTTTCTTCTGTCTGTGAGTNTCTGAATNCCTGCATTTCTGAATTTCTGAATTTCTGAATTGCTGAATTTCTGAATTTCTGAATTTCTGAATTTCTGAATTTCTGAATTTCTGAATTTCTGAATTTCTGAATTTCTGAATTTCTGAATTTCTGAATTTCTGAATTTCTGAATTTCTGAATTTCTGAATTTCTGAATTTCTGAATTTCTGAATTTCTGAATTTCTGAATTTCTGAATTTCTGAATTTCTGAATTTCTGAATTTCTGAATTTCTGAATTTCTGAATTTCTGAATTTCTGAATTTCTGAATTTCTGAATTTTTGAGTTTCTGAATTTCTGAATTTCTGAATTTCTGAATTTCTGAATTTTTGAGTTTCTGAATTTCTGAATTTCTGAATTTTTGAATTTTTGAATTTCTCAATTTCTCAATTTCTCAATTTCTGTCTGTGTGTCTGTTTGTCCAAGCATGTTTCCACCGGAACTCTCACTTCTTCCTTTTCTTTTTCAATGTCCCATTACCTTTAACTCTTCTTCTCGTGAATCCCATTAATTGCCCGTTCCCTCAATAGTAACCTACTATTGCCTCTTTTCTTTTCCTCAAATTCCAAAAAGTACTAACCGTGACGGCCGTTTTTTTTTTTTTGATAAATCTCATCTTCTCCCCGCAAAATAGAAAAAAAGACAATGTTTTGGGAAAAAAAGAATAATAGGTTGACCTATTATTCCTCTCACCCCGTTATTTATCTCAGTTTTGTTTTTCGGAGAGAAATTAATGAGATACCCATGAAAATTGGAATTCCAGTGGAAACCGCTTGGACAAACAGACACACAGACAGAAAAAGAGAAAATCAGGAATCTAGAAAAATCCCCAATTCCAGAAAGATTTAGATGTTTCGGGAAAAGACAGAAGATTCTGAAATTCTGAAATTCCTAAAAACTTGATTTTTCAGAGAATCGCGAAATTCCAGGAAGAAACGGAAATGTCAATTATTCAAAAAATTGGGGGTATTCTGAAATTCAAGTATTCCAGAAAACTCAAAATTCCTGGATAAACGGACACACAGACAGGAAGGTAGAAATTCAGAAATTCAGAAAAATTGGAATTTTCTGTAAATCTGTAATTCAGAAATTTCAGAAAATTGTGAAAATTCAGAAATTCAGAAATTCAGAAATTCAGAAATTCAGAAATTCAGAAATTCAGAAATTCAGAAATTCAGAAATTCAGAAATTCAGAAATTCAGAAATTCAGAAATTCAGAAATTCAGAAATTCAGAAATTCAGAAATTCAGAAATTCAGAAATTCAGAAATTCAGAAATTCATAAATCCAGAAATTCAGAACTTCAAAAATTCAAATATTCCAAATTTTGGGAGATCGGGAAATTCGAAAGTCAATCCAGAACTTCTGGAATCTCCGAAATCTTCTGGAATCCCCCCCCCCCCCCCCCCCACACAAACTTCCCCTAATCCAATTAACCCATTCCATCTCCTCTATCTTCTTCACCTTCTCCTAATCATAAACTGCCAACCTTCACACCTGAATGCCACGTCATAATCCTTTTGTCCTTGTTCCTCCAAACGGCCACATCAAAGAAAAAAAGGAGAGAAGAAGAAGAAGAATCTTGTCATAAACCTCCGTTTCCTCTTCCTCCGAATGTCCTTTCTCAGGTTTTCGAACGGCGAGAAGAGTTCGAGAAAAATGTGATCAAGCGTGTCAATCTGTCTCGGAAGATCGACGGAAAGAGGCAATCCAATTATTATCCACACTTTTTAATTATTGCTGTAAAAAACCGTAAAACCTGGGTTTTAAAACTTTGAGCCTATTTATCTCGGTTTCTGGAAAAGATATCAGAAAGTTGCCAACTGATAGAAGATTGCTAATGTTATGATGAACATTTCATTAATTAGCAAAATTTTGACATCATTGACAGGAATGGAGATATGTACGGTCAAAGGAAGAGGACGGTCTCGTTGCAGCCGTTTTTCGGCCGTATCTGCACTTTGAGCTTGACTATCTTGGTTCTTGGAAAAGATATCAAAAATTCCTCAACTAATAAAATATTTATCATAATGTGCTTGAGCCAATTTATCTCGGTTCATGTGAAAGATATTAAAAAGTGATCAACTAATAAAATGTCACTGATATTATGATAAACACTTTATCAGTTGTTAACTTTTTGATATCTTTTACAGGGACCGAAATAATTATAGTCAAAGTTTAGGGAAATTCTTTTACTGTTTCTAACAATACGTTTATGGCGTTTCGGAAGCATCTGGAAAACCTCTGAACATTTTTTAATTTAATACCTCACAATCTAAAAAACACCTAATTTTCATTTTCAGCTTTTCAAGTGTTTTTCTTACCATTTTTTTTACGTTTTCTCTCAAAAATATTCCCCTATCTCTTAAGACATTAAGAGATCAAAAAACCTGGCGACCGCAAAGATTCCTATCTAGATCTAATGACGCAATCGTATGATTTATGAGAGGTTCTTCTGGATAGCTAAGGTGTCTAGAAGAGAAATAGATTTTCAGGATCTTGAAACTTTTAGAATTTCAAGCTTTGAAGTTCAGACAAACTTGTTCTTAATACTTCCAACATATCGATGACACCCGGATCCGGACTTCTAATTAAAATTTGGCTTAGCTTCAAAATGATAACCCAGTTGCCTACAGTACCCTCTAAAAACAATAAAAAACAAGTTTCCGCCTGCCGGAATCGAACCTGCGTCGCGCGGGCAAAAGCGTAGTGTGTTAGCCACTACGCCACGGCACCCCATAAGCAACAAGGATGAAATGGCGGATATAAGAAACCGGCGTATCCTCCCCTCAAAGTCTTTAGGGCAACTACGTTTTGATGTGATGAAGCCAAGAAACGTCTCAAGAAAACTTCAAATTGCAGGACCCTGAAATTTTTAGAAATCCTAAATCCTTAAAACTATTCCCGAATGAAATCGAAATTCCCTCATTTCTCGAAGGAGATTGCGCAATTCGGGAATTGATGACCGTTTCGGAAATTCCCGAAAAAAACATAAATGGTAATTAATTTGGTTCGGATGACCGTAACCTACTAAACAGACTTTGTGGCGGGAAAAACGCTTTTTTCCGAAGGGATTTGGTAATTACGGGAACGCGCTACGCGGTCATGAAAAGGGCAAGTGTGATTGATTAGGATTTAGGAGGAGTAAGATGGGGTTACGGTAATTAAGAAAAGTGTGGCTTGAGGAGGCAAAAAAAAGCGAATTCAGGATTTATGGAATTTAGAAGTTTGGGATTGAGGTTCTAAAAAAACCGCGTAGCTCTGCAGTTAGTGGAAGATGGTCGATTTAGAGGTCCTAGAAAAGTCTTCCAGAGTTTCCCGATTTTTCTAAACTTTTCAGATTATACTAAAGAAAAATAGAGCTTTAATTTTGTAATTGATAACTTTCTTGCATCTTTGTTAGTTTTTGAGATATACGCCTTTAAAGTGAGAGCGCGCTTAGAATCGACAGAAGAGGCGCAGAGGCGGTGTGTCAGCTTTAAAGGAGGCAAGACACCAAAAAAAAAGTTTTCCTGATATTTTGCATAGAGGACCCCCATGAGGGGTTGAACTCATGACAGGCAGCTCAGGGGTACAGCGCCGCTACCGGCTGAGCTACGGGGGCGCGAAGGCGCCTGATGACCGATGGTCTACATTAGCGCGGCGCGATTTCGTATCCAAATTATCTCGGTTGCTGTAAGATATATCAAAAAATTGTCAAAGAACAAACCTTTTATCATAATATTAGTAACATGTTATCAGTTGACCACTTTTTGATATCTTTCACAGAAAACGAGATAAATGGGGATAAAGCTGGGCACCACCTCTAACAAAAATTGTCCTTGGAGCGCGTTTTCCTTTGAACCAATTCATCTCGCTTCTTCTGAAAGGTATCAAAAGTTTGTCAACTGATAAAATGAATATCATAACATCAGTTACATTTTATCAGTTGACCACTTTTTGATATTTTTCTCAGGAGCCGAGAGAAATAGACTCAAAGTTAGGAGCACCAATTTCCATTGAATTGTTTTCTCCTCCAATTTTCTGATTTTCTACCACTTTTGAAATTTCAAAATTCCTTTAAAATTTGCTCAAATTGCTCAGGTGTTCGCAGATGTCTGACTTCTTCTTCTTCTCCCAACGTCACCTTCCTCATCCGGTCAACCTGTCATCCTATTCATCCTCTTCCTCTTTCTCTTTCGTTTCAGATTCCTATCTCGTGGCAACTCTTTTTGGCTCAAGGTTACTTCTCCAGTTTGTCATTTAATGCGACGATATACCGAATAGATATATCATATTAAATAAGGAGAAAGGGAAACATGAGATGGTCGGAGATGAGCAATGATGATATGGATGGGAAGAGATGATGAGGGTTAAGAGGAACGGAAACATTAGGGATAATGGATGGCGGCTTTTCTTGGAGGAAGGGAATTTTTATTAGGTTTTAGTTATTGGATTTGTTCTAGCTTCAAGGTTTTTAGAAATCAAGAATTTCATTAGTTTATTCATTTTTTGGCTTTGATCTAGATTCCAAATACTGTAAAAAAATGTCTTTCAGCTTTGACCCAATTTATCTAAGCTACTGTCCTAAATTCTTGAGTTTCGACTTTAGAATTTTTCAATTTTGAACATTTTCAAATTTTAGTTTTCTCATCTTTTCGGGAGTTAAAATTTCCTTCTTAAAATTTCTGAAAATCCTAAAATTTAAAAAAAAACTGAAATTTCAGATTTGAATTTTGAGAGTATTATCATATTTCGAAATCTTAAATTTTTTGAATTCCTGAACTTTCAGGGTTCAGACTTCTAGAATCTGAAAATCTTTAATCTTAGAATTTTAAGATTTCAGGTTTCCTGGGTTCTAAAACTTGGGATTTTTTCATTTTTCCAGAAATTTCCCGATTTTCTCAGACCAAAGTTTCTCATTTTTCTGGATTCCTGAATCTCGAAATTACAGAATTCAAGGTTCCATAGATTTTAGGATTCATAGATTTTTAAATCACTAGATTCCTAGATTCCTGGGTTCCTAGGTTCCTGAATTTCTGAATTGGGGAGATCCTGGATATTTGGATCCTGGATTCCTAGATTCCTGGATTCATGGATTCCTGGATTCCTGGATTCATGGATTCCTGGATTCCTGGATTCATGGATTCCTGGATTCCTGAATTCCTGGATTCCTGGATTCATGGATTCCTGGATTCCTGAATTCCTGGATTCCTGAATTCCTGGATTCCTGGATTCCTGAATTCCTGGATTCCTGGATTCATGGATTCCTGGATTCCTGAATTCCTGGATTCCTGGATTCATGGATTCCTGGATTCCTGAATTCCTGGATTCCTGGATTCATGGATTCCTGGATTCCTGAATTCCTGGATTCCTGAATTCCTGGATTCCTGAATTCCTGGATTCCTGGATTCATGGATTCCTGGATTCCTGGTTTCCTCGATTCCTGGATTCATGGATTCCTGTATTCCTGGATTCCTGTATTCCTGGATTCCTGAATTCCTGGATTCCTGGATTCCTGAATTCCTGGATTCCTGGATTCATGGATTCATGGATTCCTGGATTCCTGGTTTCCTCGATTCCTGGATTCATGGACTCCTGTATTCCTGGATTCCTGTATTCCTGGATTCCTGAATTCCTGGATTCCTGGTTTCCTGGATTCCTGGATTCCTGGATTCCTGGATTCCTGGATTCCTGAATTCCTGGATTCATGGATTCCTGTATTCCTGGATTCATGGATTCCATAGATTCCAGGTTTCCCAAAATTTCAGATTTCAAATCCTATAAATCTCCAAAAAAACAAATATCCAATAAATTCTTGCCCGATTCATCACACTCAAAAAAAAAACACCGAAAACCAATCCGTATCTAATCTAACCTAACCTACTTTCGAAAATTAACCTAGACCTACTAATTTCTTCTTTTTTCTCCCTTTTTTTCCGCTCCCGATCAGTACACGTCTTCTGGAGAGAGGAAGAAGACGTCCATCTTTCTCTGTGTGTCTTCTCAAAAAGTGGGCGGAGCCTGACCTTGACCAGCTAAGTATTGCGCATGTTCTGTCCTGAGATGAGATATCGGGAGAGAGAAGGGACACCTAGCCGCACATTCTCCCCTAAACAGTAACCCACTTTTTCCAGAGACCGCCCATCTTCTTTTTTTGGGGTCTGAGTAGCTGGAGATGCTTTTTTTTTGAATTCCCGCCCTTTCCTTTTGGGGTGTTTCTATGACTCGCCCCTCATTCTTAATTGAGGATCGAGACTCGCACTCTCGACTCATTCTTCCATACTTCGGAGACTTCCGAGAATTTCAATTATTAATTTCGTTTTCGATTTTCTTGAGAAGGTTATGTAGGTTACTTTGTTTACTACTACATACTCTTTTAAGGAATCTGAGAATCTTGAATTCTAGAACCACTGGGTTCTAGGATCCTTAGATTTTAGGATCCCTAGATTTTAGGATCCTTAGATTTTAGGATTCCTGAATTCTAGGGTCCCTGGATTCTAGGATCCCTGGATTATAATTTCCCTGGATTCTACGGTCCCTGGTTTCTAGGGTCCCTGAATTCTTGGGTCCCTGAATTCTAGTATTTTTTCCTAAATTCTTAGACTAGATTCTTAGCTTTCTAGGATTTCTGGGATTTCCGGGATTTTTAGGATTTCAGGGACTTCTGGATCTTATTTAATTCCGGAAGTTCAAAACCTCAAAAATGGAAAATTCGAGCAGTAAAAGATTCTGAATTTCAGGATCCTGAGATTCCAAGGTTTTTCGATTCTCAGAATCTCTGAATCAGAATTTCAAAATCCTGGAATTCAGAATCTAGGAATCTAAAGATTCTAGTATTCAGAGAATCTCAAAATCCAAGAATCTCAGAATCTCAGAATCTCAGAATCTCAGAATCTAAGGATTTTCAGAATCCCAGAACCTCAGAATCTAAGGATTCTCAGAATCTAAGGATTCTCAGAATCCCAGAATCTCAGAATCTAAAGATTCTAGGATCTTCGTGTTTTGGTTCTTTATCCTTCTTCCTCATTCCCCAAAACTTTTGTTTGCACACACTAAGAACCACAATAGAGAGAAAGAAGACGTAAACGACACCGTAACCCCATTAAGCAGGTGTGTAGTCCCTTCCGTCCGACTGTCTACTTAAATTCTCAAGTGTTTTGAACGGAAAAACGGACGAACGGAAATGCAAAGAATTAGAAGAAATAGAAGGAATTTTGATTCGTGATCGGATTTGTTTTTGGTGCGGAAAACACTATTTTGCAAGCTTATTTATTCTATTTTTTTTTAATTGTTGGTCTAGTGAATTCATACCGTTCAAAAAGAGAAAAGTTTTGCAACATTTTGTAGGATTTTATAGGATATTGAGAATCTGAGAACTTTAGCATTTTGGGAAATCTGAGAAACCTCTAAAATTTGTAGAACTCTTAAAACGAATCCCCATAGTTTTTGGGTTTCTGAAAAATTTGATTTCTCGTTTTTCCAAAAAAAGCCTTCAATATAAGGACCCCTATACCTCATGGGAGGGACCCAACTGCAACATAGGGTTCTCTTACTTTGACCCAATTTATCTCAATTCCTATGAGAAATATCAAAAAGTGATAAACTGATAAAATGTAATTGACATTATGATAAACATTTTATCAGTCGACACATTGTTGATATCTCTTATGAAAACCAAGATGGACCCGTTTAAAGTTGAAAATTTTGGTTTACTAAAATTGGGAGAATCAATTTTGGGCAATTAGTTTTGAGTATTTTGGAAAGTTAGAATTTTTAAATTATCTAGATTTCTGAAATTTCTTTTTTCCGTAATTTAAAATATTAAGATTTTGTGGTTCAAAAATAAATCAGGTATATAAAATCCGAGTGTTTCAAAAGTTTTAAACATTTTCATTTTTTCCGTTTTCCTGAGTTTAGTAATATCTGATTTCAATGATTCTTAGATTTTTAGATTCCTAGGTTTCAAGATTCCTAGTCTCCTAGATTCTTGAATTCCTAGTTCTTAGATTCCTAGATGCTCGGATTCCTGGATTCCTGGATTCCTGGATTTTCGAATTTCTGGATTCCTGGATTCCTAAATTTCTAAATTCTAGAGTTTTCAAATTTAAAGATTTCTAAATATTCCAAAAATCTCCTTGTCACACTCCTAACAAATTTTTTGTACTTTTCCGTGTCAATTTCCTTTCCCTCTCTATTTCTCTTCTTCCTCTTCTCTCTCCTTAATTGATGAGATATCTCCTCCCCCTTCCTTTTTTGTCTGCCCAAAAAAGTACAATCGGATCAGTTTGTACTTTTTCTGATTTTTGAAATTTTAAAAATCCTAAATTCATTTTTTTGCAGGAATGTCTACGAGGAGCCGGGGCTCCTGCCCCACATCTTGGCTCATGACGCCACTGGTGTTACTTGTCCTGTGCAGAGGTGAGCGGTTGGAAATTTGGGAATTTTTGGGGGTGTGGAAATCCAAGAACTTAAGAATTTAGGATTCCAGGAATCCATAAGTTCGGGAATCCAGGAATCCAGGAATCCAGGAAACCAGGAATCTAGGAATCCAAAAATTCAGAAACTAGAAATCTAGGAATTCGAACATCCTGATAATCAGAAAACTTGGGATTTTCTTTTTCCTGGGCTCAACCATCGAATAAAGGGACCACTAACTTTGACCTAATTTATCTCAGTTCCTGTGAAAGATATCAAAAAGTAATCAACTAAATCGTAAAATGTTTATCATGATAGCAGTAACATTTTATCAGTTGACTACATTTTTGTATCTTCAACTGGGACTGAGCTTAATTTAGTCAAATGTGGGGTCCTTTGATTACACACTGAACAAGCTCGACCTAGGGGTTTTTTAACTTCAACCCAAGTTATCTCAGTTCCTGTAAAAGATATTAAAAAAATGTCAACTGGTAGAATGTTTATCATAATATCAGTAACATTTTATCAGTTGAGCACTTTTTGAAATGTTTCACAGGAACCGAGATAAACTAGGTCAAAGTTAAGGAGTCTTTCTGGCCTCGCGTAGCTCTGTGGGTAGCTGCTCAGCAATTCATTTTTTTTCTCGCAAGTTTGATTTTTCCGATGGGATTTCAAATTCTGAATCTTTTCTATAGTGTCTTGCCATTTTTAATATATCCTATAATTCGGAGAATCCAAAAAGCGCCCCACAAAATTCTAATTTTGGCTTTCCTGTGTTTTCCCACAAGTGTCCTACTAAAGCCCCTCTCTCATCAGCAGTGTCATATAACTTTTAACCTTCCAATCCCAAAAACCACACATACATGACAAGACAAGATTCATTCGTCGCTCAAATCATCAAACAAATGTTGTTTCCCGCCGTCATAAATGGGTCAGTGATGACCTTCAGAAGATGACACTACTTCGGTCTCTCAAGAAAACAGTAATCGGGTAGGGGGGAGAAAAAACGGAAAAAAAACGAGACAAGGTAAACGGATTGAACGGGTAGTAGTAGTGGTGGTTGAGAATTTAGGACAACGATGACACATTTTTTAAAGGAGAGGAGACATGCCAAAATGGTGTGTCAGGGGGAAATGACCTAGATCCGAAAATGGAAAAGGTCTAGAAACGGAGAATTCGGGGACTCAGAATTCCAATTAGCAGAATTAAGTCACACAAAAAAAACCAAGCTTGTAGCTCAATTTTGAAAGGAGCTATAAACCGATTTGCTCTGAGGGCAAGGCCGAGTGGAGGTGGTAAGCGGCGCTCGCGACAGCCGCTGCTCCCCGCGCGCCCCGCTCACCACATCCAGCCGGCCGTGTCCCAGGAACAAATTGATGCATAACTCTCTTCAAAATTGAGCTAGAAACTTGATTTTTGTTGCCAAGTGAGTCTAAGACTCCGAAGAATCCGAAAAATCTAAGATCTTAAAACTTCAATTTTTCAGGCAGTCACCAAATCGCTAAAAATTTCGTCAACTCATCGACACCAGATCTCCGACCGACGTTCGTCGTCAATTTTGACACCTCAACAGTTATTTGTCAGCATAGGTGAGTTTGGTGGCCTAGGAATCCAAAAATGCTGAAAACCACATGGCCTAGAAAGTGGGGTGTTCAAAATTTGAATTTCCCGCCAACGTTTGTTCTGGAGCTCCTTTTCCAATTCAAGGACACAAACATCTCTAATTTTCTGATTTTAAATTTCGAATGTAAATTCAAATTTTGAATTTCCCGCCCCGCCGATTGTCCATTTGAACACCTCCTTCTAATCAATCGTGCATGAAATTGTGCGGTGTTTGGGGTGCCAGGGGGCACCGCCAAGGTTAACAATGTGTTGGGAAAATTCTCAAATCTCAAGAACTTTATGACAAAATGATACGCTTGGTTTTGTTTTGTTTGTCGCCGAGAGAAGAAGGTGTTAATTGTTAATGTAACTTTGGAGATTTGAATGGATCATTTGGAATGGATGGCGGGAAATTCAAATTTTGGTCACAACAGAAGAGATGCACTGGAAAAACCGGCTATTTCTCACATCTAGGCAAATTTTGAAAACTTCCAAAACTTTTCCAAATACTTTTTTCTTAGAAAATGTTCGAAATATGAAATTTCACATAGTTTTGAGCATTACACAAAAAGTTTCAAATCCTAAAACCTCCCGGGAGTGGAGAAAATCAAGTTTGAAAATTGCCGTTTTTTTCGCTGAAAATGGGATTTTTGACACTGAAACTGAAATTTCAGCACTTCAAAAATCTCGTAAGCAGACTTTGAAAACGGATTTATAGGTTTTCA